TACGATCCAAATCGAATTCAAGTTCAATTCGTCTTTCATTTTGGTCCCCTATTCAGTTCAAGATTTCGGCAACCTCCCGGCTCCTCCCCTATTTAGAAAAAATTTCAGGAGTGTTAGTATGCTCGTCACGTAAAAAAAGACGTGCACGGTCGGTGTTGGGTGACACTGCGGCCGTAGTCTTCAATCCTACCACGCCAAAAAAAAGCGTGCATAGGTCTTCGGGAATATACATGTTTGAAGACGCAGTTGTTTTTTTGTCGGCACTGAGGCGCGTACAAGTACTTAAAATTTTTCTTGTCATGCTAAAAAAAGCGTGCACGGGGATTACTCGCCTCGTCGCAAGCACCGCGAAGAGCTTCCTCCCATCGTGCTAAGAAAAGTGTGCATGGGTGGTTGCTTGCCTCGCCGCAAATGTCAAGAGCGAGACTTTGGAGTTCGCAGAACATTATACCTTTGGTGGCGAGGTGATGACAATGACACTTACAATTTTCTTATGATTTCTTCTATTTTTTTCTTTTTCTTTTAAACATTAATAGTGGTATATATATATAACTGGTAATGATATTAGCCAACATATAAAAAAAGCCGACAATAATGATAGGAGAAGAAAGACTATTGCAAGAAAAAAAAGTTGATGCAAAGGCGAGGTTGAGCAGGGATTTTAGTGAAGTAGACTATTCGCTAGAGATTGATGGACTTATTGTCTCAAAAAAGTAATAAGTCACGGGTTGGGTTCCATAGCAGGTGTCAGGATGCATGTGAAGCCACAATGAGAAAATCTGTATAAGAATAGCAAGTGAAGTGTAGAAGAGTGCTCAGGTTATGTGGCTATGTGAAGTGAAGAAACAATTTTTGTTGTGATATGAGGGAGAACAGTTGTAGATGATTAAAGTGTTGTAAAGGGAGGGCGGCTGTAGTTGTGAAGAGAAAGGAACTGATGTGCAGGAAGATCAGGTGAAGATAGAGTTTCTATAGACTTCGAATAAGGGAAGAGCAATGAGGTTGGACTGTAGGAGGTTCATGCGGCTCTGTAAGTGGAGAGGAAACGGGATAAGGCCATAGATGATTCGGCTGTAGGGATTGGAAGAGGATCTTGGTTGGGCGTGAGTCCGATCGACAGAGTGAGGTTTGGGTCATGGCTCAGGTGCTGGAGCTTGTGGAGATCGGGCGTGTGAGGTGAGGACGGATGCAGTCGGCTTGGTGGTTTGTTGGTCGGATGAACAGGGAGTTCAGGTCATGGCTTACTTCTCAGGGACAGACAAAGGAGGCGCGATGAGGGTGATCGGAGGTCGTGAGGTCGATTTGCGTGGGATCGGATGGACGCGGGCTTGCGTTGGCTTGAACGGTCATCTGCGACTTCCATTTGGATGAGGGAGTCGATAATGGTTGTTGTGTGTGGCTGAGGTGTGGAGATCAAAGGCTAGGATGTGGTACAGTGAAGAGTGGTCGAAGAAGTGGATGGTCGTTGCGGCCGTACGGAGGAAGATGGGGGAATTTGAGATCGGGATTTTGTTGGTTTCGTGAAGTCGAAGAAGAGAAGAGGCTCCAACTGATTTCGTTTTATCGCTGAGGTGAAGCATTCAATCGAGACAGAAGATTTTTCCATGATTTATGACGGAACAATCCGAGTGTTTTGCTCGGAATTATCATTAAAACTATAGATTATAATCAGGATTTTGCTCGTCTTGAAATTTGCGCGCCAGCTTCTAGATTTACGTGCATTTAGTCTCGGAATGCTTGTCGATTTCCCTATGTGAGCTTTATTTGGTAAATTCACAGTCAATTTTGAATATTGCAACAATCCGAACGCAACGACGAAGTCCATTTTGCTTTTAGATGTTGTTTAGGCGATGTCGCTTGCCAGCTGCCTCGATTTGTGCGCGTTGCCTCAAGATGCGTATCGATCTTCGCGCGTGGATTTAATTGGTTAAATTGATAGTCACTTTTGGGTATTGACGACGTCTCGAACGCAATGACAAAGTCCATTTTGCTATCGGACATCGTTTGGATTGCGTCGCACATTAATTTCGTCAGGCGATTCCAATTGAAAATGTTTATAGTGATTTATGGGTGTCAACGTTGTTCCGGACGCAATGACGAAATCCGTTTTATAATGGGATGTCGTTTGGGTGATGTCACGCATCAATTTCGGATGTCAGTCGCCCTTTTGGATCGATCTCGTCTGATTTGACTATGAGAGATCCCCTCTTAGGCGAACTCGGCGTCCTGATTGCAAAGGCGCAGTCCGTTTGGCAATCAGAGGTCGTTTCGCCCTTCAAGTGACGTGATGCGTTGCTTGGATCGCGGATTTTGTCCCTTTGCACGTGGTTTGATGTGTAGGGGTCAACAAGTTCCCTCACCTACTTCGTGACTTTCTTGTGAGTGAATCATTTTGCAACTTCTTGTAGTGGTTTAGATTGAAAAAGAAGGAATGTTTCATGGTAGCAACAGGATAAAACAAGTAGCACAAAAGATTTTTTAAGTACAAGGAGAGCGGGCAATTTTTGAACCTTCTGCTACTTCGCTTTATAAACTTTTGAAATTGAGGAAAAATCTAGGTTACAAAAATTGCGCCTTCTCAAAGTCCATGTTAACCCTACTCTTGGTAAGCATACAACTCAAGATCTCAGACATCATGATAGAACCCTCATGGGAGTCCTCGGGAATCTTATTAGGAGCGCTACATGCCTGAGTCCATACACTCATCTTGCTTGAGAGATCTTCAGCTTGCACGGTTATGTTATTCTCGTTGAGGATCACTTTGAGGCCAATGAAACTCCTTTCGTCTGCTTTCTTGTTTGTAGAGGGATCACATGGAAGGCAATACACTTCAATATCCAAGCATTAATGGTGAGATCCAACATAAATCTTGGACTTACCACACATAAATCTGGTAGGACAATTTAATTATTAGAATTTACCGCAAATAAGTCTTTTTTGTTCATACCATAATCAATAGAGCTTTCATGAACAATAGGACCCATAGAGGTGGATTTTCTCAATTCCTAATGAGCTTGAAGCAATCAGCGCACTCAGGGCTAAAGATTTTGCAAGACATACAATATAATGACAAACTCCACATTCTACTTGTTGCCAATAACTATTTAAAGAAGAGCCAATCCAAATCTCCATAACCAAGGGAAAAAACATATGCAAATAAGAACAGGGGCAACATATAGTCGGGAGAGTCTGGCGGTACCAATATCTATCTATATTGGTCAAGCATTGCTCTTCGTGAGTATATTGTAGATTGTTTGACAAAAATGAAGGAAAAAAATCTGTATTGGGGTAATGGGAAACTGAAATGTGTCAAATTATGGAGACCATGTTAGCAAATGCATTGATAGGCCATTCTCATAATAGGAAAGATGAGAAATATTTTGAATAATTTTTTTCTAAATATAGTTTGAGAAATATGATTACATTCTAGAAATCCAATAGAGAAATCCCAAGCAGACAAATCTTTTATAAAAGTATGGATAATCTACAAATTTGGGCGGCCAAATGCAATTTTTAGCTACTAAAGAGCAGAAAAATGGTGTTATCATATCAGAAAATGAAAGTGATCAGGCAGACTATAAGCAACATCAGCTACTTCTAAGATGCCAAGAAGGCTAGGACTAGCACATGCTTTGGATCTCTTAGCTGCTTCTTGGGGGCTCAAGGCCAATGAGCAATCCCTATCCCTAAGAAGTTATTATTTATAAGCTCCAATTCTCTGAATTTAACATGGTATCAGATTAAGGCACTCGGTTCTTCTTCAAAAATGAGAGTGTGAGAGAGGGAGAGCTGGTTCTTGCGTTCTATTCCTGCCCGCATGCGCCTAGGGCAGCCGAGCAAGTGAGAGGGCTTTCCCTTTGCAGCCTTCTACGTGCGGCTCTCGTGCATGCCTCCCTGGGGGACGAACTAAGTAAAAAAGAGATCAAGAGAGGGAGCGAGCAGGAACTGCATGCGTGCGTGCTTGAGCGGGGACGATTGTCCCTCATGCGTCTGTTGGAGTTGAACCGAGCAAGGAACAAGCATTGAAGAGCTACTATACACGCCATCAAATTCTTTACTCGAAGACCCCTCCTTGACCCAAATCCCGACCGCTTTTGCATGTTCTAAATCTGCTATCCTCAGATCTGGGAGATGTGCAATAAGGTTGAAGCCTCATTCTGGACATCAAAAGAAGTTGACCTCTCCCAAGATCTCTGCCACTATGATCAATCTCTCAAATCGAATGAACACCACGTCGTAACCTACGTTCGTGCCTTCTTCGTTGCCGTTGAAGGAATCATTATTGAGAACCTTGATGGTCGGATTTGGACTGAAGCCGGTTTGCTGGATTCAAAGCTCACCGATGGAATGATCCTGATACGTGGAGTTGCCCAGATGATGCATGAGGTCGGGAAGAAGATGGCTTTCTTGGTGGTAAGGCAGTTCACTGCTACGGTCCAATGCATGCTTTTGGTGATCGAAGAATTGGTGAGCACACAAATGGTGAAGTACACTACTTCCCTAAGTAGGGAGTCGATCATGGATATCGAGGGTGAGGCTACAAGGAGATAATAAGCACTTTATCCTATCTTGAAGGAGCTGACGCTTGCTGGTTCTTCAGGTTCCCATCATTGGCATTCATTATCAGAAATTTGAGAAATACAAGTTCCCATCACTAGTCTTCATTGTCGGAATTATGAGAAATACATGTTCTCACCATCAGGCTTCTTTGCTGAAATTTTGAGAAATACAGGTTCCCACTATCGGAAATAACTTTAGTAGTTCAAAGTATTTACTTGTGTTGCGTGACAATCTGGAAACCTTGTCCTAATATGCAGTTTCCCTTAAAGCAATTATGAGTGTTCATTTCCATTGATAGACAGTACTACCCATTTTTATTAGCACTCAGAATTGTACATTCTGAAATTAAGATATTCTCTATCTGATTGGCTGCAATATTAAACAACGCGTATGTATCATTTTTTTTTCTTTGTTAATGCTTATTTTTGTAAATTGTGCAGGAAGGGTACCTTGTTTATGAGTGCAACTCCATGTGCAGCTGTGATATGACATGTACGAATAGGGTTTTACAGAAAGGAATACAAGTTAAGCTGGAAATATTTAGAACAGAAAAAAAGGTAAGCAGATTTCACATCCCTCCCCAGAGATTTTCTTAATCCTGAAATAACTTCCTGTTGGATGGACAGGGTTGGGCGGTGCGGGCTGGGGAAGTCATATCACGTGGCACGTTTGTGTGTGAATACATCGGAGTTCTTAATACATCAGTGCCGCATAAAAGGTATCGAGGCCTACCCTTATTTTCAACTTTATATTTTTATGTGTCTACCTTCTCTTCAGACTGACTCATGACCTATCACAAAATATTTCTGGTATGATAGCATTGAGTGCAGCTACCTTTATGACATTGATGCGCATATTAATAGTGCAAGTGGTTTGAGCGAAGGGACGGTACCTTGTGTAATTGACGCTTCCAAATATGGGAATGTATCAAGGTTTATAAACCACAGGTAATGCAGGTGGCGTTGGCCATGTACATAAGGTGACCCTATTTAAAAGCAAAGTTGTTGTTACTAATTCTTTTCACTTAATCTGACCTGTTTGAATTGGTGGGGTAGCTGTTCTCCCAATCTTGTAAATTATCTGGTCCTGGTAGAGAGCATGGATTGCCAGCTAGCTCACGTTGGTCTCTTTGCAAACCGTGATGTATGAACCATTCTTACACACATACACGCCACTACAAGCTAAAATTTTTGAAAGTTGCTAATAATATGCTGTCTTTGTTGAATAGATTGCATTGGGTGAAGAACTAGCCTACGATTACCGCTTTAAGTTGTTACCAGGTGAAGGCCTGCGCTGCCATTGCGAAGCTCTGTGTTGCCGAGGTCGTGTATGTTAATCTGTGATCAATTAACTCCAAATTGAAGTTAATTGATTGTGTTGGAGCTTGGCTTGACTTCAGGAATGAATATTTTTTTATTCTTTGTCAGAGATTTAAGATGCTTTCTTCAAGCTTATCAAGGAAAATTGCATGGGTAGCAGATGCTGGCTCCTTGTAGGCACAGCTTTTTTTTTTCTTTTTTAATTTTTGTTGTAGTGACATTCCTTTGGCGAATGCAATTTGGATGCTAAATTGGCAGCCCGATTCAATTTGTTCTGTTCGCAACTGCTGCATCATTATATTTGATTTTCTGATCCATTTATTGAAAAAAAGAACATAAAATATTGTTCAAAACAAGTTTCAGGAACCTTTCCTCACATTCACCAGATTTTAGCGCTGGGGCTATGGGTACCACCTTTTTTTGAACGATTTATTGGTTCATATCTTGGAGATCCTGCTGGATCGAAACGTTAATTAGATGTACAAGCTTGCAATGGAAAGCAGCATCAAAATATATCAGAAGTTAATGAACTTCACAACAGCAAATTGCTTACGTACTTGGTGAAAAATTGATTTACGAAAACAAAAAATATTTCACTTTTTGTTAGCAAAATACCTGCTTCATCAGCTTCAGGTCGTTAAATCACAATGGCCTTCACTTTCATATACATTTATAGTTGGTTTGACAACATTAGTTACTAAACATTACTTATTCTACCTATCTGATTACACGACAGGAAACTTCTGTTCATCCTTGAAGCCAAAAAAATTTGAAAAAAGAAGTTAAAACATTTCAGTAAGAAGAGTCCTAATTAATGCTGTACATTTTAAAACGGATGGGAGGGAGGGACTTTTACTAAGAAAGTTAACTCTTGTCGATCACCTCTGCAGGCATATTTAGATCAAAAAGAGGTGCAGATCCAATCGATTCATTCTTGCTAAGTTTCCTTGAGGAGCCGCTCTCATCCGAGCTTGAGGCAGCCTGAAACTGTCTGGTACGCTTGGCGGACAGAGTGGTTCCTATAGATGACAACGCTAAAATTCTTGTCAGTGTCCTGATTGTATATGGTAAGTCAAGTCTATTGAGCTGATTGTATATGGTTAAAAAAAATAAAATGATAATTTTATTCACTTATTTTAAGTGTGACAAATCATGAAATGGGGGGAGTGGAAGAACAACATGATTAGCAAGCAATTAAAAGAGGGGCATAAAATAGCCTTTGTAAAGTGACTATTATTGTTAAAACATAATTCAAGTATAGCAATGGTCTTTTTAGAAAAACGTACCGCTTGCATTAACCGCAGAAATATGGTTAGGAAGTACATCCATCTTAGTTGTCTTTGTACTACGTGCCTGGTTAGAAACCCAGCAGACTGAGAGTTCTGAAGCCTTCTCGGGGCCCTTTGATTTGTAAGGAGCAATATTGTGAGTTGCTCGCTGTAGGGGATACAACAAATCATTTTCTATGCATTGATACCTGCAAGAAGAACTCATATAAGAGGGACAAACAACCAGCAGACTAAGCTGTACTATGTAAAGCAACACAAGCTCACATTTGCTTGCATAGTCTATCAATAACAGATGACAGGTTGATGACATGCTTCATATTCTCCATAACATCTTCATCTGAAAAATCTTGAAAGTCCTTCTCTAAGAACATAGAGAGCTTTTCAACATTTGATTCTAGTTGTTGTTGTTGGTCCTCAAACAGGTTTTGTTTCAAGTCCCTCTCCTGTGAAGTCATCTCATCCTTAAAGAGTTCATCCCCAAACATATAAAAAGCAAACGGATAAGAATACGATAGAACGCGCCTTGATCTGAAGAGACGGTTCAAACCATTGTTCACCCAACTGTAATCTTTAATTCTGGATTCCTTATTCTCAGAGATGACTATTTTGCCTTGAATGGTTTCCTTCAGATTGCTTTCCTGTTTAAGAGAATCTGTGTGGGCCTTGTATCGGTTATGATAGTGCATGTACCGATACAAGTCACGCCTTGCACATTCTATCAGTTTTGTTTGGTCTTCTTTGAAACGTCCACAGCTATGACCCGTAATAGTTGACCAAGTGTGATCACGTCCAGTGGCACCACCACATAGCCAGCTGCAAGACGTGTAAAACATAATTAATATTAAAATTAACTTTATATGAAGACCTATGCATGTTCATGAATATCAGTATGCATCACAAAAAGCAAATTCATAAAAGAGCAACTGATACAGAATATTATTTATGTGCCAACTGATGTAAGCTTCCCCCATACCCCCTGTGACGCCCCAGACATCTATAGTGAAAGGATTCTTCTGACAAACTTCTTTTTTTTTTCTATATTTCTCGCTCAGATCATACAAACATCCAGAATGATAATTGCATTAAAGAAAACAGATACATCAAAATACTATAATTCACATTAAGGCATTTCATATTTACAATACAAAAGTAGCGTCCAAAAGAACATGTACAATAGCCACTCGGACTACAAAACAATGCATGAACCAAAAACTACGAAAAACTATACTAGCGTATGAAAGAAGCTTCACGCGGGAAGCTCTGCACCTGAAATCATTAACCACATATAATGAGCTTCAAAAAGCCCAGCAGGTCACCAAAAACCTATAACTGAAATCAAAGCACGGTACGAAAAACAATATGCATGTAAATCAATCAAATCAATATCAGCCACTTGCACATGATCAATGAGTCGATGCAGATACGAAAATCAGTACAGAAACAGAAATCAATGCAGTAACGGAAATCAATATAGAAACGGTCAAATCCTCAATTGACATTTAAAGAATCAGTAAGCAGTATAAAAAGTCCGTAAAGCTCAATGAATCAATACGTGCATCAAACCCTACAGTAGTCATCTTATTTAACATCAGTCAAATCAATGTAGTAGCAGCGTATGTATCAATATCAGTAACAATCCAGTGACGACATAAACGATTATGCTATAACAGTGAAATCGTGTAGTAACAGTAAATCCGTACAATAACGATTAAATCCTTAGTAAATGAATCAATACGTTTTATTGTAAATCCGTCAAATCAAATACGATTAACATTAGATCAATAAAGAAATCACTTCCGGTCAATAATATCAAACGGTATGAAATCACATAAAACAATCAAATCAATAATAATAATTAAAAGCAATCAAATCTATCATACAGTAAACATATTTCTAGATCACGTGCTCAGTGTATCACATGTATCGGTCAGTATTTAGTGTATCATGTGCTATAGATCGGGTACATTGAATCAGTAGTATACGGTATCGGTATGTTCAATGAATCGAATGCAATATCAATATCATATCGGTATCTGTGTTCAGTGACATGTACAGATTGAAATATCAATGAAATTGTGCAATGGACAGGAAACTCATAAATCCGTACAGTAAAAGCCATTCATATCAATAAATCAATTCAATATCAGTACCATTCAAAATCCATAAATCAATTCCATATCAATAAATCAGTCAATATCGATAAATCAGTAAATCCATAATGAGATCATAAGAACACATGCATTCTAGTACAGTAGTCTTACTCGACAAGTACAATCACTGGCTATTAAGGCGTTTTTCAAGGTTAATATGTTAGTAATCCGTTGGCTATAATAGAGTCGTCACCCTTGCCCGTCGGCATAAACTCCTTATTGACTTCCCAACTCGTATATCACTGATCAATAGAGGATAACACCAAACTCTTTTTAAAGGAAAGCCCGTCGGCCCACCATCCTGACAGGTCAATCTTCAACCAACGGTTCAACCAGCCTTTACTCAACAAGTAAAAGACATGGCTATTACGGTGTTTTTCAATCTTGGAATGTCGATGTATCTTTGTATCCGTTGGCTCAATAAGAGTCGTCACTCTTGCCCGTCGGCAGAATAATCTCCTTATGACTCCCTTCAGTAATCACGTGACCAGTAGAGGATAACACCAAACCCTTTTTAAAGGAAAGCCCGTCGGCCCACCATCCTATCAGGTCTATCAATCTCCAACCAACGGTTCAACCAGTCTTTACTTGTCTTTCAGTAACAATAACAGTAATTCAATCATATATACAAATTCATATGCATCTCATTAATACATAACAATCAACAAACACAATTAACTCAATTGAAGAAAACCCTTAAAATATCGTACAGTCGACAGAAATCCCAAACAGAGTCAAAATATATAATTTCAAAAAATTACCAAATTACCAGAAATCGTATAAAACAATGTTTCAAAGCTTTACTTATACTGAAGCAATATTTTTCAACAGCCAGATACTTTTTTATTTGATAAAAATCGAACATAACTCAAAATATCCAGTAAAAACTTTCCAGAAATTACTCAAATCGTACAAAAACATCATTTCAATAACATACCAAAAGTTACGCGGTAAAAGTTTCGTCAATACAAAGATATGCACGTTTTTCGGTAACGAAAACACAAAACTGAGCAGAAAAATACCAAAACTCGAAATCTTTGAAATCAGAAATAGGATTCGGAGTCCTTACTACAAGACGAACAAATCTTTTAACAACGGCGTCGGACGAAAAACGCATCGCGAGCTCCAAAACCAAGCCTTTCCTCTCTTTTTCCTTCTCTTTCTCTCTCCAGCTTTTTTTCTCTCTTCAAATGATTCCAAAATATCTCAATCCAATATATATCCATGCAGATCGTCGATTTGCCCTCTGTACAAAATTCGTTCAGACGAAATTGCATTCATTCCTGGACGATTTGCTCTCTGGACAAATTTCGTCCCGACGGTTCATCCAGGTTCGTCCAGACGAACCATACAGATTCTTCACAATTTTCTTCAGTTCGTCCTGTACTAAAGTCAGTTCGTACGGACTAACTGTACTAAAAAAAAAACACTTCGGAGGGGTTTTACATCCCCCCCCCCCCTCGGGGGGGGTTTTCCCCCCCCCCCCCCCCCACTATGCTTATGCCATTTACTCTATATCATACTACTTCCTTTTTGTCCCACATTATTTTATAGTATTCATGTAATATGAGCATATGAATCAAATAAAGAATATTGATTGTGGACAGTTTCCTCTTCTCTTTCCCTTGGGCTGAGTGCCCAATCTCCTCTAGTTTACAATCACCATCGAACAATAGTTCCACATATTTCTCTCTAGATTAGCGAGGAAACACCTGTTCAGTAAAAGATACAAGAAGGATGGTACGGAACTCTTTTTTTTCCCCTTGTTTCCTGGTTAAGGTTATCTTGCAACAAACCAAGGCAGCAGACAAGACAATGACGGATAGTTGTAGCCATAGTACATTCATTCACTGAATGGTAAACTTCCTCGCTTCTTTCATTAGTCATTAAAGAATACTTTAAAGAGAAACAGAATGTTGTTTTAAAAAAAATATATATTAACTAACGACAATTGGCCATAAGGTAACCCAGAAAACAGGCTGCCTTAACAAGATTAGATGTTTCGAGGATCAAGCAAATTAGTGTAGCATGGCTACAAGGTTAGTCCCATTTGGTGCAGATAATCACAATTTGCATTTGTATTAGACTCAAAGAAATCAGTAAAATAAAGTAGAATACAGATTAGATGACAAATTGAGATGTCATTTGCAAAGTGACTCATTGTAGTGCATAGAAAAATGGTAAATTATTTAATTTTATATTATTTTTATAATAATAACTTAAATGTAGCACATGTTTAAAAATTGAGCATGCATTAAGTTCTTCAGCGCAAAGGCTCAATAAGAACTCCATGAATAAGCACAAAGTCCACCCCAACTCGTCCCACCCTGCCCAATTTGCACAATTGTCACATCATCATCAGCCTTCCTATCCCAACCACATGGGGCTAGCCTTGCAAATATCATCAGCAATCATATCTCAACTACATGAAGCCGCCCTAATAAATATACATAAAACTGCATATACCATATTTAGTCTCTCGGATAAAAAGCTACCTCATCATATATTTAAGTTTAATATATCCTCACTTTATTTTTTTAAGGGTAGTAATCACTTAAAAGTTCCTTAGATTATATTGTATTTCATGTAGGTTCAAATTTTTTAAAACCCACCATTTTGGTTGTTAGCCATTTTCTAATTTACAAATTATTCCTTGAGATTAAATATCCGTTTTTACAAGTTCTTATAAATTTTTACTTAAATTTGAATGATATTCAAAATTCCATATTATTCAGTAAGTTGAAATGCAAATCTTCATATAGATCCCATCTTAGCTTTCTCATTCCAGGATTAGGGTTCTTCTATAACAGTCTATCTTATGGTTCAAAGGTTGGGAAGAACTAGGAGAAGAAATAAGCTTCCCAAGCATTGTTGTCCGTTAAGGTAGTGCGTGCACAAGAGGTGGCCAAAGGGAGAGCAAAGGGAGGAGAGGATGGCATTAATGTTGAGATCATCATTACTTCGGAAGACCTGGAGCATGCAAAAAGAGAAAAGCACAAGACAGTGATTGGTTATAAGATGACTAGATCGCAATGATCTCTTTATTATTGGTGGTATCGAGGAGGGAGAAAGTGCATTTGATGATGGTGCTCTGGCATTGCTAGTAAAGGGAGGGGGTTCTACTTTAAGAGAGGAGCACAAGTGGTCGGCAAGGGAGAGCTCAATGGAGAAGTGAACTAGACAGGAAACTGGCAAGGATGGAGACAAGTGGCAAGGTGGATGTAAAAAACCGGGGAAAAAATGCCGATCGTAAGCATTGCATGCATTTCAATGCACTGCGACGAAATTAGGTGAATTTTTGAAATTTTCAGAACTCGATGCAATTAATTTTATAAAATTCTATGTCAAATTTCGAGCGATTTGGTATAAAGAACTTAGGGTAGATTTCGCTCGAATTTAGAGTTAAAAAAAAATCGAGAAAGTTTAATAATGACTGAATTACCTAATAGCCCTCATAATCTTAATAACCCTAAGGCATGCAAGGGACAATTAAGTCTTTTGGTTATTCCTCCCGCCATATGACTCTTAAGGGACCGAATTTCGGTCCCTTTAATTCGCTACTTCAGTTCTTTTGGCCGAACGGAAGAAAAAATAAAGGGAAAGAGCGATGGGTGCAAGGGAGATGGTGACGACGGCAGTGGTTTAGGGAGAAATCGAAGGGGA